AGTAAATAGAATTACAATATAAATGCAATTTAAATCGTAAGCGACTAAATTGTATTTTTTAGGATAAGTTCCACGCAGTAAAAAACGTTTTATAGCAAGAAAATAAACTTAAATGATAAAGAAATTGTGAATTAAATGATAATGAATGAATAATGATAAAAAACAGCTGTGATTAAAGAAAGGTGCATGTTTTTTATATCTTAAAAAGCAGGACATTTAAGTATACTTTGTAATGTCAATTGAACTTTTCGCAGTGCAACAATTCTCATTTTGATATTATGTGTCCTAAACAAGGAAAAAAAGAAGTACGCACAACACAGAATTCTCTCTTAAATTGCAGTAGAAGCCAAACTGTCTACCTGCAAACTCTTTGAGTAGTCATTCGGGCTCAAGGTCAAGAATGAAAGATTCGCGTTTTGTATCATTCGGCTAGTCAAAATAGTTACATAAACGAAAAAATTAAGACGTTATTGAATGTTCCTCCACTTAGGGAAGAAAACGTAATACACGCGCTGTTTGATGGGGTTGAAACAAAGCCGAAGGAGGATAAAATATTTTCTATCGAAATCAGTGTTTAACTCTTTCGCATCGAAGTCGCCCGTAACGCCCGTTCATTCAGGCAACGGCAAACCGCCCCAACGCCTCGTTTATTTTCTACCTAGTTCTTTCCCCTCCACGTTAGTGTATGGCTCATTGGTTTCGCGAGTTGTTAAAAGACATGTCAATCATTCTTTTGAAGCAAATAAAGGAGAAATACGGAAAGCTATTGACGTTCGCAGGTGCAATGACGTTCGCAGGTGCAATCCGGCCCTAAGGTGAAACTGCACACAATGGAAGAAACCGCAGAAAAACCTCCAAGAGCAGTAAGGGGGAAAGGAAAACTATTCCAAGACAAACTATTCCAAGGGCGTTTTCGATGTTTGTTGAAAACAGATTTGGTCGTCTCTTGATGCGAAAGAGTTAAGAAAGTTATAGCTTCTAGTTTTAAGCTCTTTCGGAGGATAAGATGTGCAGATTTATTCCGAATATGAAGATATATTCCAAATATGAATATATACTGTAGAGTTTTAAAGGACTTGCAACGAAATAAAATATATTTAACAGATTCTTTATGTGAGTAAAGAGAGATTGACTTTTTGACTGGTGTTGATGCTTTGGGAAATGTGCCGACTGAGAACTTAGTTGAGTTAGATTCAGGTTTAACAGCTATGAAAACTAAATTTGGGAGGACGGTAACTAGAAAATAGAATTCATATGCAGGTAATGGTATTTTGACTACTTTGTCTGAAGAATATTCCTTTCAGCGCATTATAGTAACTTCAAAATTTAGGAATGGCTGATTCATCCCAAAATGTTAAGTGATTAAACTGATTTTGAAACTTAACTGATTTTGAAGAAAAAAATTAAAATTCTTTCTCATGGAGTAAGAGCTAGAATTGCCATGGAAATGCAATTCGGCACATTTATCTTATAATAAAGATCTAATTTTGTACGGACATTAGGATTTTTTTCTGGAAGCAGGCAAGATGAAAAATTAGCAACGCCTTCGCCGGGAATCGAATCGCGGACCTCTGGAATACGCGCACAGCGTTCAGACAACCACACCACGCAGGCATGCCAAGAAGGTGGGAGGAATGCTTTATAACTTGGATGAGGCGTAAAATAGTGATTAATAAGTTAAAATATGGCAAACTTTTATATGATTATCAAAAATTAGTCTAGAAATGGGAAAAATGAGTATCATTAAATGTGTACTTTGAATTTTTATTCAATTCAATTTCAGGTACGCGTTCAATAATACTCGAATGTCACTATTTGCCTCACAGGCCCGTTATTAAATTAGATTATAAAACTAAAAAATTGTGCCCGCCTTTTCTAGCTGTCGGAGAGGGAAATGCTCTTTAAACGATCGTTCATTTAAAGGAGTTAATAGTTTAGAAAAATGCCCTGCACCAAATGATGAAACTGTTCAAAAACTGAAAAACTCATTCTGTGTCGACAATTGTATAACTGAAGTTTTTAATATTAAAGAACAAGTTCACTTTATAGAACAGGCAAAGTTAATCCTCTCGAGAGGATGTTTTAATTTGCGTAGTTTTGAAAAAAAAAAAAAAAAAAAAAAAGTTAACGAGCATTACGGAGAAACTTCGTTTTAGGAATAATCTGGGACTTAAATAATGTCACTTTGAGATGTACTAAGTTAGAGCCATTGGCATGTGAAATGAAAATAACCAAGAGATTATTTTTGTCAATATTACAAAAGATTTACGATTCCCTTGGCTTGTTAAGATTATGTTAACTGATACAAGATCTGTGGAAGTAAAAAAGAACTTGGCATTGTGAATTACCACCGGATAATTTGTGAATAAATAGTCAAATTGCTATAAAAATGCACATGAACTAAAAAATGTAACTTTGCCTTGTTGCATAGCAATTGATTCGTTTTCTGAATTGTATGTTTTTGTTAATATTAGCAAAGGGGCGTATGCTGCTTTCGCCTTTGTTTAATTAATCATTACTGCTGATTGCTGACCGGTAGGCGAAATTGACAGTCAACTTGAAGTAGTAGACGTTGAGAGAAAAAAGATAAAATTAATGACTACTGATTTGGCAAAAGATTAAATTATGATAAAATAATTAAAATGTTTGCTTGGGTTTTATTAATATTTGTCGGCGAAGTCGTGTCAAATGTAAAAACCAGGAACGTTCTTTTTCTGAAACTGAAAATTCTGAAATGTGTTTGATTCCTTTAGTTCAAAGATATTATTTACATGATGTAAATTATTTTAATTTTGTCACGTTTAAAGATAAAAATAATATTTTAAAGATAAGAACTAAGCTAACTCATCGAGATGATGAAGAATCCTTCTTATATCCAATATTGTTGCAAGATAATTGTGAGTTTACTAGGCTATTCATCAAGTTTATATATATAAAAAATTAATTATCATGCTGGAATTCAAATAATGTGAGTCGCATTACAAAAAGGAGTTTACTTACTTACTTACCATCAGCTGCGTTGCTGTACCGCCTGTTATATGACTATCAGAATTTGTACTCAATTGGTGGAGCATTCTATTATCGCTAAGCCTAGCCAAAAATCTCTATAGAATATTAAAATTTAATTAAAAATTAAATAAATTTGTAGCTGAATTTATAAAGTTACTTCGGAAGATAGGTATTTGTGACCTGTGGTTATTAAAGAGATCCTGTCAAGACTTTGACTGCTCAATGTTTTGTTTTTAGATTGCTTTTAGATTTTAGCAGTTCACTGCCAGGTCGTCTATGAGTTTGGATAATTACAGCTAAGAAAACAATTAAGAATATTTTGCACAACTATACGACATGTATGAGTTTTAAAGTTAAATTTATATCAAGCCAACCTACACCTTTGCTTACAGACTGAGTTATAGACTGTTCAGCAAGTCTTAGGAAATTATTTGCCCTAGCCTTTGTTATTGAAAAACTTCAGAAAAACGTTGTGGAGAGCGTTGTTTATACTCGCCATATTTCGAGCTAATTACCTGTGTTTTGTAGTGAGGGTCCCACTTGTTTTGCAGTGGTTCTTGAAACCCTTCAAAACATCTATTTAATTTAATGAAAATGTACCAATTAAACCACTGCGAAAATTCAATTATACAAGAGGGTAACAACCCTGGTTAGCGAGAGTGTTGGAGGAATCAAACAATAACAACTGATTTACATCAAAGTTATTTATTTTTGTTGTGGCTTTCCAATTAAAATTCGAACATCTCAAACATATTTACTCCCGGGAGATAAAGCAGTGCTTATTTAAATTTAGAATTTCTTAAAGAATTAAGTAACATAATATGGTTAAAAAAAAGTTAAATCAATCAGAGATAGTGGATGCTTAACCCTTTGAGTATGAATTAAAAAAATGACTCCATTTTCTATTCAAATGAACAAAATATGTCATAAATAAGGTAAATTTAGCGCCTGGGAGTTTTTTTTAGTCCAAAGGGATTTGAATCCCGAAGGACTATTAGTTTCGTTTTGGCATTTTGCGTCGGACTCATAAATGTCGGTTCACTTTTCAAACTGTTGCCACAAAATGTTAGAGTCCTGCATTATATTTGAAGAAATTAAATAATGAAAAATCTGCATAAATGTATGTATATTTCTCGTATTGTGATAAAACAACGGTACATAGAGTCATCGAATTTTGAATAACGTAATCCTCCAACGAATATGAGCATGTGGAAGACCAAATTTGAAATTTGAAATTTGTTTTATGATCGATTTCCTATTTTTTAAAACTTTGATGAATTTTTGATTAACAAACTCAAGGATTTCAAAGCGAGCAATGGCAACGTTGTGCAGAAAAAACATTTTTATCTCCAGCGCGTGAGTCTCTGTATCGGAAATTCTAAAGATATGCTCGTTTTAAAACTATTTTGCGATATTGCTGTTGCACTGGATCTTATGGTTTAAGTGCGAGGAACATGATATTTAATAAAGAAAGGTAACACACAAAATGTTAAAAAACGCCCCTTTGGACGTAATTTAAAATCTGAAACATTTCAGATTTTGTTTTATTTATTTATTTTTTTTTGACAAACGGGTTTCAAGCCAAAGGCTGAGACACATATGTACCTGCCGTAGTTAATGATGGTGTTGCAACTCACAGGGCTACAACGTGCAGGTTACAAATAAAATAATCACAGCAGGGATTATTAATATAAAGATTTAATATGGATATCTCACACAAGCTGAAAACGTTACATTACTTTAACTAGTGCATACATATAACTGAGGGAATAGGGAATTTCCCCGTTTAGACCGCAGATAAAAGAAAAAGAATAATAAAAAATAGTCCAATCAGATGCGGCGCTCCTTCTGTTGACCTTCGCCGAGCCGTTATGTAATCGTCTGTCTGCAGCCGCCGTCTCCAACATTCTCCCCCTCTTTGAGTCGACTTCAGGTTGGCTCAAAGACATACAGTACCTGGTCGAAGAGATCCAATTTCTGGGGCAGCTTGATCACACGTCCAAATCTTGACACTTTAGCACCTTGCAGGATGTTACTAGAGTCATTAGAAGAATCATTAGAATCTGAAGCTCATCACTAGAAATAGAAGAAATAGGATTAGTAAAGGAGTTATCGTTTATGGGATCAGTGGGTTTGTCCGTTAACTGCACTTCCAATGGAAAGACTCGCTGAATGGGACGAAGCAGCGTACCAGCTCGAGTCTTCAGTTCTACAGTTCTCACCTTGTCATCTTTCCCAGGAATTAGTCGAATGACCTTAGCTAAAGGCCAATGCATCCGTTTTTTGATGTCATCTCCTATTAGGACAATTTCACCCAACCGTAGCTCTGACGATGGATCCTTCTTATTTTGGAACAGAAGGCCTAAATATTCTTTCCTAAATCTATGCCTTAAATCATTAAGTAGTTTTTGGCGATGTCTAGCTCTTTTTCGAAGACCTTTCGAATCGCACAAATCAACATCGGGAACATCTAAGCTACGATTCTCGATGAGAAACATCGCTGGGGAAAGTGGGATTAAATCATCCGGATTTTCCGACACATAGGTAAGAGGTCTAGAGTTAATTATTGACTCGCAGTCGCACAATACTGTGTACAACTCCTCGGTTGTAAGAACCGCGTTACCGAGTGTCCTTCTCAACAGTTCCTTTACTACACGAACTAACCTCTCCCACCAGCCTCTTTCAAGCATATCTGCCGGGTTTAAATAACCTGGTACATAGCGTCAACACTGAGAAGGAATCAGACTGTTTATTTCTTTTACCCTATTTGCAAGGAAAACTGACCAATCACCACGGTTCTTAATCCACCAGAGTGATACCATAGAATCACTCCATGCAATAATTTTCAAATCAGGCAAGTCTAAGGCGGCGTATACTGAGTGAACCAGTCTCGCGCCAATGCAACAGGCCATCAATTCTAACCGGGGTATTGTCAGAGATTTTAACGGCGCTACCCTGAATTTGGCTCTGATCAATCGAATTTTGACTCCCATAGGCGTTATTGAGTCCTCGTATTGAGTTCTCGATATTGAGATTGAGTTCTCGAACGGGGAATGCCCTAATCTTCTTCCCATAGGCGTTACATTTTAATGTAGACACATGCACCATAGGAGCTCTTACATGCCTCAACGAATAGATGCAGCTCTGAATTCTCATTTATCTCTACATATCGTGGAATACTAATTTTCTCAAGACATTTAATTTCATCCTGCCACTTCTGAAAAGTTTTCTGAATGTTTTCTGGCAAGGGGTCATCCCATTTTAATTTCATAGTCCAAGCCTCCTGTAATAGTAACTTGGGTAACAAGGTAGTTGGACTCAAAAAACCCTGCGGATCAAAAATTTTATGTACTATAGCCAAAATATTATGTTTACTTATCTCATTATCCATTGAATAATTAAGATTACATTTCAATGTATCGTTATCCAAATCCCATAAGTTTCCAAGAAGAGAAGTTATACCTGAACTACGGGAAATACAATGACCTGGAACATTACTTTCCGAACCCCGTAGGTTAAAATATCCCCGAGCCATTACTTCTGTAGCCTTAACTATAAAATTTTCTTGCTGTTTGATATCGTGAACCCCAGTGACACAATTGTCAACATAAAACGAATGCTTTAATTTTTGGGTCACATCGTTAAACTCGGCAGGGGAATTATCCAAGAGATGCTCTATCGATGCAGAGAGTTGAAACGGAGATGAACAAATGCCGAACACCACTCTGCAGTGTCTGTAAATCATAGGTTCTTCAAGAGTTGGAAGAAAAAACCTCAAATAATCTCTGTGTTCTGGGATAATACTCAGCTGAAGAAATTCTTTTTCTATGTCCGATGATAAACCAACAGAATACAATATAAACCTGTCAATTATATCAGGTATGAGTTCAATTAAGTTCGGCCCTCTATTTAAACAATCATGAAGGGATGCGTCGAACACGGACCTTACCTTCATTGTCTGGATAGTATGCTTTATAACTGGTCTATGGGGCAAATAATAACTCAAATTATCAATTTCAGTTTCAGGAACCCTTTCTATTATTTTTAGGTCTTCCCATTGCTTAAAAACTACCTTATATTCATCTAACTGATTTTCCTCATTAATTCTTTGACATATTCTTTGATGCCTTTTAAAAGTAATAGACTTATTGTTAGGTAACCGAATTTCAGATTTAAAGGGTAGTGGCAATTCATATCGGCCATCAGGAAGAACATTTAAATTCTCTTTAAATTGCTTAACGGTGTCAGAGTGAGAAAGTTTACGTTTAACATCTTCAGTTGGATCTGTTATGCCAATGGCACCTAAATTCCAGAGTTCAGTTACGCTAAGATTAGCACAATGCAACGAAACTACATTATTGCACAAATTATTTTGTAGTATTGCTGGAATAGTAGTTGAAGTAGGTTCTTTAGATAATCTGTTTACTTTACCAATCACAGTGTATCCGAATTTAGTCCCAACTACAGTTACACCAGAGTTCAGTTTCAGAGAACTGCCAGTAATAATGTCTCCAATGGCATCTGCTCCTAAAAGCAACTCAATGTCATAATCTTTAGCTTGCAAATCAGAAAAGGTAATATTTCTTTCTTTTAATTCTTTTAGGATATTGGGATCAACAACTTTTGGAACACATCCACATATTTTGTTTTGAGAAAGTACTTCAAAGTTATGGTCATAAGTGCCCTCAAAATTTCTTAAATTAACATCAAACACTAAATGGGAATGAGGACTTGTCTCTCTCCCCCCAAACAAACCGTGGATAATGGTTTGTTTCGATTTAGGACGCAGTTGCAAAAACGCTATAACCTTTCTGTAAGATAAGATTTCTGAGAACCACTGTCCAAAATCGTACGAACTGTAAGTTGTCTACCCTCAAAAACTATTTTTAAAACAAGTGTTTGCAAATACACATTTTCATTAACAGTTGACTGATTAGACAATGCATTATTTGAAATAACAGTACTGTCAGTTTCATTTGGTTTTACAGGTTCGCCATTTGAGCACATAATGGTATAGTGAAATCTATCACATGTTAAACATTTTACTTTTTTTTTGCATGCCCGTGAACTATGTCCAACTCGTAGGCAGCGAAAACAGGCGCGCTTTTGCACCAAAAGCTTTCGTTTATCATCTAAAGACATTTTGCGAGCAGAAAAACATTCGGCAGAATTGTGGGATTTCTCACAAAAAATACAACATAAATTTCGCCTACCTGTATTGTCTTGAACATTTACCAAGGCAGGAGCTGTAAAGCAACCTGGATCATCAGCATGTGGACGCGAATGTTCAGAACGTGAAGCTCCCAACCCGGTACGAGCGAGCTTAATCATTTCCTCACTTTGCACTTCATTTCGAAGAAAGCACAAAAGTTTATCCAACGAACGCGCACTATCTTGCTGTGATGCAGTATCTTCCATCGAGCGGCTTCTTTTTCCACGCACGAAGAACAGTCTCTGGTAAACAGGACTCAACAAGTGGCACTAAAAATTCCGCAAATTATTCCTTAGTTCGACCGAGGCTGTCCAGTGCCATAAGCTTGCTCTCAAGTAAATCATAAAGTTCAGCTAAATCTACTTTAATCCTACCAGTAGCATGTTTCATTACTATGGAAAGTAGATCCCGTACATAAATCTGAACCAAAAGTTCATCTCTCCCGAAGCGTTCTTTAAGTTGTGCGATGACCTTTGAATAGTTTTCTTTAGTTGGCGGAAAACTGGTTACGAGTCTTGACGCTTTAGAATCTGCTACACATTGTAAAAGATATTGAAATTTATCTTCATCGACAATGGAGAGGTCGTTGTGAATTTTTTCAAACTGGGACCAAAAAGCAAGAAAGTCTTTTGGTTCTCCACTAAATTTCCTTAATTCAAGTTTCGGAAGCTTGAATTTCCTTTTTTGCTCGGTTGTTGTTCCTTCCGTTACCGAATTTCTTCCTTAACTTCTTTGCATTTTCTAACAGCGAACAGATCAAGCAGAACTTGTCACGGTATTCTTCTGCTTTCAAAAAATCTTCGGAATATTCATCTTGAAGGGCATCATCACTCAGCAACAAATTCGAAACTTCTTCTTGTTTCCAAACGTGTGAATTTGTCTTGAATCTGCCGAAACAACGTACTGACTTCGTCACTTCCTAAACTTTTGTTTTCGATCTTCTGAGCTATATCGTTGCAGCATACCGTCAAAAGCTGTTCTCAGCGACTTTCGTTTTGCTTTCAAAACTTTTATATCCATATTTCATCAAAAATACAAAGTCGCGGAGGCCAAATTTACTATGTTGCAATTCACAGGGCTACAACGTGCAGGTTACAAATAAAATAATCACAGCAGGGATTATTAATATAAAGATTTAATATGGATATCTCACACAAGCTGAAAACGTTACATTACTTTAACTATTGTATACACATAACTGAGTGAATAGGGAATTTCCCCGTTTAGTCCGCAGTTAAAGGAAAAAATAAGAATAATAAAAAATAATCCAATCAGATGCGGCTCTTCTTCTGTTGACCTTCGCCGAACCGTTATGTAATCGTCTGTCTGCAGCCGCCGTCTCCAACAGATGGCATACACATGTGCCACACTTAGCGATCGACTTATTATATGCACACCTATTATTCTGGAAAACTTTATTATATGAAATAGACTTTACATCGTATGATACAGGGTAAAGCATTCTTTGCATAACCCAACATTGGACACTGGGCAGCTCATGTTTGTTCTTTTCTCTAAGTTCATTTGTGTACAACAAGCACAACGGCGTCTTGAGTTTCCAATTGCTAGAAGATGATCCCCAACATTCAGGAGATTCTAAGTACATTTTAACTCAGCAGTAATTTTTAAAATTTTAGTGGGAGATATATATACCATAAAAGTCAAAGGGTTAATATAATAATAAAAGAAATTATTTCCCCAAGTGGGGTTCAGTGCTATTAAACGAAGCTATTTGCTTATCTAACTGAAGAATTCATCTCAACAGATAGTACAGATGTCGAAGGGAACTCGCCGAGAAAGGAGAGCATCTTGATTCTGGCACGGGAGTCCGTGAAAGGACCAATCTGCTGGAGTAGATATACTTATAGATAAAGTACTGGATTGGGAACTGATGAGCACTGGAGATCTCCAGTGCGCCGGAAAGAAGTTTGTGAGTTCGCCTGGAGAAATGGTTGGGGAGAAAGACACTCCGCTTCACCGTCAAAAAAATGATGTTAAAGAATCAAGATATCCTTTATTAGCCGCATTTTCATTAAAATTTTCGCTGGGTTACAGCATCGGGTTTTACCTCCACTAGGTTACAGCACTGGTTACTTCACTGGATTACCTCCACTGGGTTACAGCATCGGGAGAGGATGTTGCGAACTGAAGTTGAAGCTGAAGTAGAGAGAGGCCAGCTTCTAGAAGTATAAGAATTAGAAAGAGTCTTTAGTTTGGAACACGAAAGAACGCTGTTGTTGTTATGTGCGTTATTGTATGTGTTTTATGCGTTTTAATAAGGTGTTTTTATGTTTTTCGGAATGAAATTGTCTTCCTGCACTTTTCCAAAATAACCTGCATTGGGTAGATGCGAAACCATGAATTAAATTTCGGTTTTCAGTTCTCAACACTTTCAATTCCTCTGAGACTTCTTCTGCATAAAAGTCACATATCTGAAAACAGTTCTTAACTGTGTTTTATACGATTGACCCCCTGGATTGACTATAATATGCAAGACTTCTTTCAGAGGTATTGACTTCTAAATGTTTGCATTTTTGTAAGACTGAACTCTGGTTATCATTTTCTGAACATCTTTTCTGTAATGAAATTTGAAAACTTTTATAATAACCTGGTGTAGAGTTTGAAAGTTAGAACAGAACTGTATTTGCAGGAAAGGACACTAATATTTTTCAGATTGAGATCAAGGGTGGGTGTCCTGCGTTCACATTTATCTAATTAGTAAAACTGCTTCTTCATTTTTTAGTATATTTTTCATAAAAAAGTGAGATTCAGTAAAAATACTACGTATTCACGAGTTCTTGTTGCTGTCATAAACTAGAGGTTAACTCTTGAATTCTTTCAAGCAGAGAGGTATTTTGCTTCTGTCAGTTACCAGTACTGTCTTCTTAATTGTTGAATCCATATTGCATGTTAACAACACAGTAACCCTTTCCTTCAGTTTTATCTGCTGTTTCACTTTTAAACATTAACATGTGTTTGTTAATGTTCTGTAACGCAGTCCAGTTTCGGCTGCATTATAAATTTCTTGTGGCTTACATTCATTTAGTAGTCAGTAAAAGATCATTTATCGTGTTAGAAGTCGCGTGATAATCTACCTTTTTCTTCTCATAATTAGTTTTCCGTTTAACAACGCTATTTTTTCCTTCGTTTGTAAATTGATAAAACATTTTCTCCTAGCATTTAAGAGAATTACACAGCTTTTATAATGGAAAAACTCTAGAAATAAGAAAAAATTATGGTTTAAAAAAAAAAAAAAATTCTAGAAAACATTCTAGGAAAGCATTTCGAACGTCTTTCATCTTTTTTTTTTTTTTTTTGAGACATTTGCATTTTTTATTGGTTTTTCACTTATAATAATTCTTTGTTTGTAAATTGCTCAATGCTGTTCGGGGAAGTTTTAGTTTAAATGCAGTTTTTCTCTGGCTACGCCAAGAACATCAAGATCTTTTAATAATGTTACGAATTTTCTTAACAACAATTTTTCGTTTTCTTTCAAGCTAAAATCTTTTCAAAATATTACAAGATAAAGTCTGCAAAAAATTTAAGAGAAAAAAAATTCTTCCAGCGGTATATTCATTTTCAAAATGTACCTTTGTAACCAGCAGAAAGTTAGGAGTAGTTAACTCGACATGCCATTTCATGATTACTGCCATGACCAAGGCTTTCTTTTAAAGCATACAGTTACCACTCCCATTCTAATCAAAGAATGTTAATATATGATAATGCTAGGAAGCATTCTGTAAACACTTTTTGAAAGCTTTTTAGTGAAAATAATACGTATATCCCAAAGCGAAGATTTTGAAATTGAAACGTTAAAAGATGTACTCAGAAATTGCATTTGCACCTCTTATTAGCTGGTATTCAAGCACAAGCGCTCCCTCATTTACAATGTTTCTAGACTCTAGAGTAGTGATCTTAAAAATATGTTCTGCAGCTCCACAAATATGGAGTTCCACGTGTCAAAAATTCGGGAAAAAAACCGCTGTTTTGCAAAAAAATCGAAGCACCAAGAAGGACTTTTGTAATCGTGATGAAATTTGGTATGCAAAAACATCTTGATCGAACATGCAAATGATCAAAGTTTCAAAGCAAATGAACAGGAATTGTGATCATAGCGCTTATTTCCAGTGCGCAATTCCAAAGTATAAAACCAGTAATAGAGGCGTAAAATTTACCTTTTTTTTTGGCTGCCAATGACCACCGTGTTCGTGTCTGGAGAGGGCGGGGCCAGTGGTTTCAATCAACCTTTGTTTTACAAAGGCATACAGCCATAACCCGTTGTGTGATGGTGTGGGGCTTTATTTCGTATTATCTTTAATCATCCTCCGTACATCTTTAACAGCTCAACGATATGTTGATACCGTCCTGCGGCCAGTTGCATTACCCTTCATGGCACGTCATCCTGGGGCCATTTTCCAACAAGATAATGGCAAGCCACATACCGCTCGCATATCTCTTTGCCCTCTCCGTGCGGTTGATATTCTTCCTTGGCCAGCAAGGTCACCAGACCTTTAACTAAATCTCCAGTATTTTTCGAATCCTTTTTGATTAATTCTGAACACAGCAATGCGTAACGCTTTCTGTTACATATTATGCCTTTTACAAAACTTCGGCATAATTTTGCCATGTAACCAGCTTTTAAACAGACCAACCAATACTTCTGATTTAATTCCTGATTTCCATATAATTTTTGATCCGTATAACTTCTGATTTCTTTCCTTGTAATGACATATGTGCAGTTTTTGATCAGTTCTGGCTGTAATGATTTTTATCACAAAATAGGCAATTTATTTTATATGGTTCGTAATTTGAATATGATGCAGACATTAGACATTTGTACACGACCCCGAACATAATCTTTAATTTTAAAATTAAATATCTCGGTCAGACCGTGACCGTGAAAGATTAATATTAAGAATCGAAGAATATTTTAATAGTATAACTTTTGTTCAAAGTATTTTAATATCAAATATTTTAATAGTATAACTTTTAATTAAAATCGATGCAGAAGGCATGGCTGTTTCTTGTATCTTTTGGTGTGGTTTTCTAGCTTTCGAATATGATACAAACCCAGATTCAACCAACGCGATGTTCATCTTCTTTTATCTCATTGAGTGAAAATGAATTCTTTCTCTTTTCTAAGAAAATATCAACTCTTCTAAAAGCTTTTCTTTAACCAAATGTGACGAATCGGTGTCAGCTTCTC